TCACTCTCCTTTTGACATTACATCATCAAAACTCCCCAGTAGATGTTGTTGTGTGCTAAGCGTATTTTGGATTATGCAGAGCTATGCTACAGTCGTTTTTCCATCACGGTTCAGTCTTACAAGAAAGCTAACGGTTCACCAACATAACATCTGCTGTACGTTCACTTCCCATAGCCAGAATTAATTCCCAATGGGGATTTTTCAATGAAAGCTGGATTTCTAACTGCCACTCTCCACCAGTTCTCACCTTTCATTCCCCATCTGTCAACACTGGCTTACTAATCTACTGCAGTTTCCCGTGCAGTAGATTATAATAATAGATCAGATAATAATAATAATAACAGCAATAACAATAATATCAGCCAACATTGCCTGAGGAGTTCATATGTGCTAGGTGCTGTTTGATGAGCACCACACACCTGAGCTTGTTAGGCCTCTCCACATCCTCCTGAGGAAGCGACTGCTTCTCAGCATTCTATGCATGAGGAAACTAAGGCTTGAAGTCACACAGCTAGTTAGCAGGGGAGCCGGCACACGCTGCAGGCGGTGACTCCAGAGCTCCTGACCCTGGAAACCCACACACACCTGCACACGGAGCCTCCTCCGCCGAGCGCAGGCTTCAGGCTGGGCCCGCTGCCTTCGCGAGTGCCCCCACCCTGCCACCCTGCCACCCTGCCACCCTGCCACCCTGCCCCATCACAGCCCGGTGGCTTGCAAGACACTGAACGCCGAAGCCCCACGCCCTTTCTTCAAGTGAGGAAGCCCCGAGCCTACATTCAACAGATCAAATGGACACTCTCTGGATGAATTAGCAAGAGGAGCGCGGACCCCCGCCCTCCCCCTCCCGTCCCCTCCCTGATGTTCCAGAAGGTTCTTCGGGACCTCAGGGCTTCTGTGGAACGCAGCTGGAAAACCCCTGGACCAGCCTCGCTTTGGGCTCCCTCCACCAGGAAAACGGCCAGCCCCAGAGCCGCCCTCCAAGGCGCTTCCAGAGCCCCACAGCTTCCTCTTGGTTTCAGGACAAACGTGAAATTCCGTGCGGGGAATTCCAGGTTTCCCGAGCCCCGTCTTCCCAGCCTTTCCCTCCGTGCCCTCGCTGCATCCAGGTGGCCTCCGTGCAGCCTGACAGCGGGCAGCGTCCTCCCGACCGCCCGGAGCGGCCTCCGCCTTCCCGACCAGCCCAGGAAACGCAGCCGAGCGCCGCCCTCCCCGGGGCCTCCCGAAGGCTCCGGTGCTGCTGGTCCCGGGTCCTGTTTAGCACAGGCCTGCCCGGCTGTGTCACCAGCGTACGGGCTTCCCCACCAAAACACACACCACAACAGCGATGCCTTCAACCAGAAGAGCGTTTATGTCTCTTGCAAGAACTGTCGGAGCATGTGCGGCCCCAGAGGCAGCCCCACGCTGTGGGGACCCGGCTCCCTGCGCGTCGTGGCTCCGCTGTGCTCGCCATGGCCCGGTCCTCACGGCGGACTAGGCTTAGCTCCCCACCCTCTGGCACCTGAGTGCCACCGGCTAGAGGGGGAAGGAGAGGGAGGCAGAGCTCCCCACCCTCTGGCACCTGAGTGCCACCGGCTAGAGGGGGAAGGAGAGGGAGGCAGAGCTCCCCACCCTCTGGCACCTGAGTGCCACCGGCTAGAGGGGGAAGGAGAGGGAGGCAGAGCTCCCCACCCTCTGGCACCTGAGTGCCACCGGCTAGAGGGGGAAGGAGAGGGAGGCAGAGGGCAGAACCTTTTCTTTTCAAGAACGTCATCCTCCGCTCCTGATCAGAACCCGGGGCAAGATGGAATGTTTCAAGAGAAAAGGAGAGATGGACATTTCCTCTCATCTGTCATTGGAAGAAAGGGACCTTCTCCTACACACAGTATCACCCTCCATGCCTATTTAACCTCAGGATCTTTCTACACCCTGAATGTCATCAATAAATATTAAAGAGTGAATAATAGGTATACAAATTAACAAATAAGAAAACAGATATATGGTCATTTTCGGAAATAAGATAACGTTAGATTGCTTTATATCTGCGCTAAATTTAACGTTTTCAACTACTGGGTTCTAAATGTAAAAAGGTTTTTATGCACTTACTTTTAGAAAAGTTACCCCGAGAGAGAATATCTGAATGGGAGAGATGCTTATACACACACAGGCGCACACACACACACACACACACACAGCTCCAACTTAGTCAAACAAAGAATCTGGGAAACTGTTTCATTTCTCCTCATGCTTTTTTTCTAAGACAGCCAATACAAAATTAATAAAAGGTTTGGAAAGATAATATTGAAAACATAAAAGCATAATACTAAAACTATCTTTTCAGCTACTAATTTGTGACAGTAACATCTTAGTTCATTCAGCAAGCACTTTACCAAATGGTGGGAACACTGGAAATTTTTTCACCCAAGTGATGTTACTATATGAGGTTTGCCCAAGAGAATTTATTTTTAAATATTTATTTAAAAAGCTATCTTACATCTTCTTCTTTTATGCAATATACACATTTATGCATTGATTAATTCATCTCTACATGTATTAGTTGTCACAAATACCACCAAAAGTTTTAAGAAGCTTTAAGGTAGCTACAGGTAATGAAGAGTACAGTTACCCTATTTGCCAGTTGCAAATTTTTTTTTTTTTTTTTTTTTTTGAGACAGGGTCTTGCTGTGTCACTCAGGCTGGAGTGCAGTGGCACGATCTCACCTTATTGCCACCTCTGCCTCCCGGGATCAAGTGATTCTCCTGCCTCAGCCTCCTGAGTAGCTGGGATTACAGGCATGCACCACCATACCGGCTAATGTTTTACATTTTTGGTAGAGACAGGGTTTCACCATGTTGGCCAGGCTGGTCTTGAGCTCCTGACCTCAAGTGACTTGCCCACCTCGGCCTCCCAAAGTGCTGGGATTACAGGCATGAGTCATCATGCCTGGCCCAGTTGCAAAATATTTTATCAGTTCAGACTTTCTTAGCCTTGAATGAAGCCTGGGAAATAATAAGAGTAACAATAATAATAAAAGCAGCTTCCCTATTGCACCTACTCTGGACCAGACATTGTACTAACTGCCCCACAAAGATTCTTTCAATCCTTTAATAATTCTGTAGCTACAGAAACCAAGGCGCAGAGTCATGGGGTAATCATTCAAAGTCTTTCAGAACTGCATTCAGATCGAGCCCATTTATTTCCAAAGACCTTTGCTTTTTCAAATACAGGGAAGTGAGGTTAATAACTGGCGCTCTTCTGTTACCTGTAGGCTTGGGATGGAGCCCCATGCAGCCATTCACAAGGTGCCTGTGCACAAACAGGTGCCATTTGTATTTCTCATATGCGCATCTTACAGCACGACTAAAGGGATTACAAAGAGCGTGTCCACGGGTGCCCCATGGATCATTGTGCGCAGAAAGACCCTCTTGTCGAATGGGAGTCTCAGGAGACTCTGAGCACCCAGGGAGGGCACAGGCTCACCTCCCAAGCCCCTGGACAGGGTGGGACAAGGCAAGATAAAGATACTGCTAAGGACTCAATATTTGTGTCCCCTGAAAATTCATATGTCAGATCCTAACCTGCAAGGTGATGTTATTTGGAGGTGGAGCCTTTTGGAGGTGATTAGGTCATGAGGATGGAACCCTCACAAATGGGATTAGTGCCTTTATAAGAGAGGCCCCAGAGAGTTCCCTAACCCCGTCAGCCATGTGAGGACACCGTGAGAAGACTGCCGTCTATGAACCAGATAATGGGCCCTCACCAGTCACCAGATCTCACCAGTCACCAGATCTGCCCTCACCAGTCACCAGATCTGCCAGCACCTCCGTCTTGAACTTCCTACCTCCAGAACGACGAGAAATACATTTCTGTGGTTTCTAAGCCGCCCAGTCTGGTGTTCTGTTATCGCAGCCAGAATGGACCCCGCTCAGACACGGAAGGAGGAGCCTGCCTCAGAGGGGGCCCTCTCTGTCCTCCCACTTCTGCCAAGGTGGTCTCCCCTCACCTGCACCAGCCCCCTCCATGAGGCATCCCCACATCAGGACACTGTTCTTGCCACTGGAGTCTGGGCCGGCGGCACAGCCTGAGTAAAGGCCAATGCCCTCTCCCTGGCCGGCCATCGTGCAGCCTGCATCCCACAGGGAGAACTGCAGAGCTCTCCTGTCATTTGAATCTAATGTTCGGGCCAAGGCAGGCCTGCTCTTTGAGGTCTGCCTACCTCAGCTTAGACCCAGCCATGCGCTCAGGAGGCGGCAGCACGCCAGCTCGTGGACGTTCTTCCAGGTCCTCAAGTAAACAGTGGGGATTTTCACTTCCCCTCCCTTTAGAAAACAGTTTCCCTTCAGAGGATCTGGCTGGGAGAGACTGGCTCAAAAGACACTTGCATGAAAATGTTGTAGGATTTAACTCTCCCCCGACGCTGAATTCGCAGAGCGGTACACATTACTTGGCCAGCACATCCCAAGTAAATGCAGAGGGCTTGTGTCTGCAAAACTTTCCTTAGGAGAATGGACTCTTGCACAGACCTCCTGCCCAATGCTGGGTCTCCCACGTGAACCCTGACTTCAAGTCTTCCTCAAGAAACTTCTCTCTCTCTTTATTCTAGCCCAGGGCTGCTCAATAGGGCACGATAGACATTTCGGGGCAGGTGATTCTTGGTTGCGGGGCCCCCTTGTGTGTTGGAGGATGTCTAGAAACATGCCTGGAATCTGTCCACCGGATGCTTCCCTGGTCAGGACAACCCAAAATGTCTCCAGATGTGTCACATGTCTGCTGGGGGCAAAGTCTCCCCCGGCGAGAACCACCGGTGCACCTGAAGTGCACTTGGTTAAGAACTGAGAAAGCCAAGAGGGTAAGAAATCCTCATCCCTCAGAGGCTGCACATCCAGCTAGAAGAATCCGAAGTCAACACGCTAATCACAAAGGCAAATATCCCACCAGTGACAAGTCAAGACAGCAAGAGATGTCTTGAGATGGTGTGTAATTAACAGAAACTTTAACACTTTTCTAATACTTGTAACATTTTATTTTATTGAAATTATTTTACTATGTGTGTTCGTTCCTTAATTTAAAATGGAAGCGCCATGAACGTAGACACTGATTCTTTGTGTTGTCCCTGGGAGCCCCCATGCCCAGCACAGTGTGTAACACATAGGAGGCGGTCAGCGGATGTCAGATGTCAGACCCAGCACGAGATGGACAGCATTGAAAGAACCCCTGTCCAGGCGGCTTCCAGCATTCACTGGGAACCAGGTTGACTGAAGCAATCTGGATGTTTGACTCTTCCTAGTGTTTTTAATTAAAAAAAAAAAAATTAGATTCAGGCCGGATGTAGTGGCTCACACCTGTAATCCCTACAATTTCAGAGGCTGAGGCAGGAGGATTACTTGAGGCCAGGAGTTGGAGGCTGCAGTGAGCTACGATCACACCACTGCACTCCAGCCTGGGCGACAGAGCAAGAAGACCCTGTCTCTAAAAAACAAAACAAACCTCCAAAAACCTCTGGGTTTAAAGGCAGAGTGTGGGTGTGAGAGAGAGTGCAGGTGTGCGTGAGGAAGCAAGATGAAGGAGATTTGCGGAGAGGGAAGATTCTGGAAGCAGTCTCAGAAGAACTGTCTTCCACATCCCAAAGCCCTTCACTCCCTCCATCCCCGATCTTGTCTCTGAGTTTAATTCACCTCTGGAAAGGCAAGAAGATGGCAAAACCGAGGTGCAAACCCAGGGCTCTTCACGGGGATGGACGGGCTGCATCGGGCCGGGCAGAGAGGAATCTCTAGGAAGGAACAAGAGGAAAACATCAACCCAAATCCGTGGTTCGCCTCTCGCTTACGTCACCTGTTCTTTGTGAACGTGGGCTGAGCGCCTGCCGTCTACTGGACAGTCCTCTGCTTCTGGGGACCCTACAGTGCACAGAAGAGAGAACACCAAGCTCCCTGAAGCCTGCAGTCCAGCTTCGCTCTGTACAAGCCTGCGCGTGCATGGCGCCTCCCAAGGACTTGCCCTTGCAGATGGCTGGGCCCTTCCCACAGCATCTGTTTCCGCGGGGCTGGGTCAGGGCCTGAGAATCAGCATTTCTAACAAGGCTCCAGGTGAGGCTGATGCTGCGGGTCTCCAGACCGCCCTTTGAGTAGCCCTGGGCTCAAGCCCACATGCAAAAGACACAAGTGAGCCGTTGTGAAGTGTCTTAGTCAGTAGGTGGGCCAGGAAGAGAACCCCACAAAGCATCTGAAAAAACAAGATGAAGGGCCCAGACTCCTCACCAACAAGGGAGCTGGGGAGTGGGGGATGTGGGTCTCCTCTGTTTCCTGGAATGTCTAGGGAAGGCCCTGGTCACAGCCTCCGCAGGGACAGCTCGGCTGCCTGGAATGACCAAGCACTGACCTCTGGCCCCCAGGCACCCCTGGCAGTGCCGGGGAGAAGGGCGTGTCGTGGTGGGTGGCATCGGGTGGCTTCTTTCTGTTGGTGGCCCCTTCCCGGTTGGGACCAGGCTTGTGGGAGGCATCGGAGCCTGCACAGCCAGCCGAGCCTCTGACCAGTTTATTTACTTAAACAACAAACATCCCTTTGCCTGGGGCCGGCCCAGGGCAGTTCCTGAATGGGAAGAGACACTGGCTTCACAGAGGCCCACCCACGTCGCTGGGCGGGTTTCAGGGCCTGGCCTCCCTGCGAGGAAATCACAGGCTGCCCAGGAATGCGTGTGGTGCCAGCAGCCGCCACCCAGGGCCGCTCAGCGGCCTCCTCCCTCCTCTCCTTTCTCTCCCAGCTTTAAGTCTCCCTTTCTTTTGCCTTCTGAGATTTTATTCTTCTCATCTGCAATGGTGAGAAAGAAAAGCAGATAATAAAAAAGAAAGACAGAAGGAAAAAAAAATTTAAGCTTTCTCCCTCAAAAGGGAAAAAAAGGTTTGAATAAACAGTGTCACTGAAAAGGCAAACAAACAAGGCTGTTTCTGAAAGAACCAGATGGACTTCCAAATGGCCCTTCCGATCCAGCCCACAGGGCTGCACCAGGGTTGGGCCTGAGGGCGTGGGGGGTGCCCAGGCGGTAATTTAGGGCTGGATTCTAAACGCTGTAGGTCACCCTGTGAACACGTAGGCCATTCGGAAAACCTCAAGCCTCACTGAAATGCAGTAAAATTAAACAAGCCCCTTATTACCTTCAATTTTTGTCAACATGTCCTACATCATTACTTTTTTCTGGCAGTTGACCGATGTGTTGAATAAAGAATTGCTGACCATATTTGTTTTATTATTGTGAGGTTGGGTGTTTGTTTTTGTTTTTCATTTTTCTAAAGTTCTCCCGGACTTAGCTAAATGGCCACGTGCAGTTAGATGGGTCAGTTTGACTGGCCTTTTTCCTTGCCTAGTTAACGTGTGCTTTATCCAATAAATCAATGATGTTTTTAAAAATGATTGACTGATACCCAAATTCCTCCAATAATTTCCGAACAGCAGGATGATATGTGCTATACACCGATGAGCGAGGAAAACGTTTGTCTTAAAAACCACTTTTTCTGTTCTTTAAGGACAAATTCTATTTTTAAAAACAGACTTTATTTTTAGTGCGGTTTTAGGCTCACAGCAAAATTGAGCAGAAGCCACAGAGATCCCACACAGCCCCCGTGCCCACACGCAACACAGTTCCCACATTATCTACAGCCCCCAGAGGGGTGCACTTGTCACAACTGATGAACCTGCCCAGACACGTCGTTACCACCCAGAGCCCAGAACTGAAGCTAGGGCTCACTCTGGGTGGTGTACATGCTGTGGGTTTGGACAAATGTACAATGACATGTATCCACCATTACAGTATCACATAGCGTAGTTTTCCTGCCCTGAAGTTCCTCTGTGCCCCACCTAGGTAAATCCTATTTTTCAAATGGAATCAAATTCAACATATTAAGTATTTCCTATTTGACATTTATATGCCACTTATCTATTGGGAAAAAAATGTCTTTCTTGTCAAATTTTCAAGTTAGAAAGCTACGAAGAAGGGTGGGAGCCACCCCAGTTGCTAGAATGCCTGCTGTTGAAATGTCCTGGCAGGGGAGTCTGGGACCACCCAGCTCCCAGTCCTCAGAGGAGGCTCACGCCCCAGCCCCTGATGGTCCACCTGACACACCTGATTCTAGGAAGGAAGGCCTGCAGTTTTCCATGCCGTGCTTGATGGCAGACACTTGAAATGCCTTCCATGCCATGGACGTCTTGGGATTCACCCCAGAGCCCCCTCTGGCAGCATATTTTGACTGGTGACCCCAGATAGATGGAGCGGGAGGCAGCACCCAGGAAGGAAAAGGGATGGAGGCCAGAGGTAACCCCAGCCTACCTTGGAGAAGCCTCCAGACCCCATTCTCCTTGCACACAAGTGAAATAGCCCACAAAAAAATGTGCCCTTGGCCAATCACAACACGTTACCTAAAGGGCACTCATGTTGCTGGGAGACAGGACTTCCGGTTTCACATACTGGTTCCATCTCCACTACCATTTACCAGAACGTCGCTTTACCTCTCCAAACCTTGGAGTCTTGCAGCGAAGGGAAATAATCATAAGACGTAGCTTGTGGAGATTAAGGAAGTCAGTATCTAGAAAAGGTCCCTTACACAATGTACCTTTTATTTTAATGAGTATTTACAAAGCAGCCCTGTTCTTTTATTATTTCTTTTCCAGAAAAGAAACCAGGAGTATGAAATGAATTTGGAGGAATGCCTAAGCATAGAGACAGCTCATCAGATTTTACGTTTTTTAGGTAAAATAAGAAGGAAAGAAGGAGGGAAGGGAGAGAGGGAGTAAAACCCAACCCACAACTGGTCACGCTTTTTTGGTGGCACTGATAGAATAATTTTTCAGCTATGCCCTTTGTTTTCAGGTGAAAGCAAGACCATGGAACATTATTTTCTAGTATCAAAACTCCAATGTGGATTGTAGTTATGAACCAGGGGAAAAAGGAAATATTTTCATCAAGGATTTTAAACTCATTCACAGCAAAATTATAATACTACATCATGGCTGAACAATTCCAGAGTTTCTAATAGATGCCTAGTTTTGGAGGACATGGTGACATTTCATCAAATGATACATTCATCATTTCCTAAACAGGGCCTCCTTTCCATTGGTTGGCAAAGTTAAAGTTTTTTCTTTTTTTAGCAACAGTGTGTCAGGCACAGTTGATGATCCTTACCGCATAGGAACAGGGCCACAGAAGCCATGCCCAGAAGTTTTTGTTTTTTTTTTTTTTTTTTTTTTTTTTTTTTTTTGAGACGGAGTCTCGCTCTGTCGCCCAGGCTGGAGTGCAGTGGCGCAATCTCGGCTCACTGCAAGCTCTGCCTCCCGGGTTCACGCCATTCTCCTGCCTCAGCCTCCCGAGTAGCTGGGACTACAGGCGCCCGCCCCTGCGCCCGGCTAATTTTTTCTATTTTTAGTAGAGACGGGGTTTCACCATGGTCTCGATCTCCTGACCTTGTGATCCGCCCACCTCGGCCTCCCAAAGTGCTGGGATTACAGGCGTGAGCCACCACGCCCGGGCCAGAAGTTTTGTTCATTTGTTCGTATTCCATGCCTACAACAGTCGTTCTCCATCTTTAGGGTTGTGTCAGAGTCGCCTGGCGGGTTTGTTAGACTCAGGTGCAGGGCTGACCCCCAAGGCTTCTGGCTCAGGCAGGCTGGGGGCCTGAGAGTTTGCATGGCTCACAGGTTTCCGGGTGATGCAGAAGCTGCTGGTCTGGAGACCACATTTGAAATCCACTGGCCTAGAATAAGACTTGGAGTATTCCAGGTCCTCAGTAAACATGTTGGTTAAATGAAAAGGCAGTGTCTTGGGTTCTGTTTCTACTGGTAAAGGATGGAGAGGGCTGTGGGCTTTGGATTGCATTGCAGCATTTCTGGAACTCAGGAAGAAACTTCAGGGTCACTGGTCCAGCCACAGTCAATGGTAGAGCTTTCCTTAAGGCCAGGTTTTATTAATCGTATCTGCTCAATGGCTACAAGAAGAGCAGTGGCATCCAATAACTTTCACTTCACGCTGCCTTCCCCTGTCCCCATGCTAGTGGACCCTAAGCACTTATCCAGAATCGTCCTTCCTACTGTTCCATTTCTACAACCGAGAACTACTTCCATAACAAGGCTTTGTAGGTCTTTATGGCCCACCTTGCATTGATTTCTGCTGTCAGTAAAGTTTGCTTGGCCACTGTATTCTAAGGATGAAGGGACTGAGGCAGTCAGTGGAGATTTTGAGACTCATCCAAAGCTATCCTACAAACTGGTAGCCCACAAACCTGCAGTGGGGTTATCCCCCTCTCCATGGCCCATAGCCCTCCTCTCAGCTGGCCTGCTGCCCGCCAGTGACACACAGGCTTGAGTACCCGGTGAGTACAGCTTGGCAGCCTGCTTTTCTGATGGTTCACAGGGAGCCTCATTCAGGTCTAGGGGCAGTAAGGACCCAACCATAAGACTCCCCTGGGCATCAAGATCGAGGCACCGTATCTCAGCCTCCTCAGGCAGGAATAGAGCTGAATAATGTCTCAAGACATGTTTATATTAAGCATATTCACCTGAATCATCGGGCCAGAGCAGCGAGGAAACAACAGTACTGAACTATTGATTTTCCAAGCCCTCCCACAAAGCAAAGCGCACGAGGCAGAGGCTGAATAAAGGAGGATTTTCCTGGCTGACGGCTATGTTTGAGTGTCCCCTTTAAACCCAAGTCGCATCAGGTTGTGCCTCTCAAGGAGCAAATGTGTGAAATTCTAAAAAGATCTTGAAAACTGTAATGACAGGGAAAGACAAGTGCATGCAGGTTTGGTAGGAGAAGGAGGAAAAGGAAAATGATATGAGATTAAGCCATTTAAAATGACGCGGTGGCTCACGCCTGTAATCCCAGTACTTTGAGAGGCCGAGGTGGGCAGATCATGAGGTGAGGAGTTCGAGACCAGCCTGGGTAACATAGTGAAATCCCATCTCTACTAAAAATACAAAAAATTAGCCGGGCATGGTGGCGGGCACCTGTAATCCTAGCTACTCGGGAGGCTGAGGCAGGAGAATTGCTTGGCGGAGGTTGCAGTGAGCGGAGATCACGCCACTGCACTCCAGCCTGGGTGACAGTGCGAGACTCCATCTCAATAAATAAACAAATAAATAAATAAATAAAATGACCATTTTTGTAGGTCAAAAGTGGTTCACGATTGACAGTTTCATGAGGGAAACATTCATTTCCTATTCATCAGCACATACAACCTCCCTTTTCCCCAGAGTCTGGGTTGTTTTACTTCTAACTTTCCTTCTAACTTTCCTTTCTGCCCTGGGACCATTCATTCCTCCCTGGAGTAAAAACAGGAGGTGCAAAGATCCTGCATCAACCAATCGCCTCGAGAGTGTAAGAAACAACATGTGCTAACTCCTGGCACCTTTTGCTTCCCTTTTCCTTCGGCCTCTGAAACATCCATGGCTGCAGGCAGGTCCCTCTTTGAGAAGCAGACTGTCTGCACGCTCTGTGAAGACAAGCCACATGAAATCAGGCACAGGCTGAGGCGGGAAACGCATCCTTCATGGGAGAAAACCTAACACTTCCATG